ACACGCCGGTGAGTTAGTAGTTGGGTGGGTGACCACCAGCGAATCCTCACTGTTGTATGTTTTTTTTTTTGTTTTTTTTTTATTCGGTGTAAATGAAATATAGTAATAACATATGTTTTTATGGAACACTATATGTAATAACTTTTTGGAAATTAAGCTTGACGAGACATAAATTTGACGTATCTATCTAACGCTATGACCATCTAGGCGCAGAGGTCACCTGACCCAATGGTAACAATGAGATATAAGCCGTCTTACCATTCCACCCACGACTATAGTCTATAGCTCTCAGCTATTATATATTCCCCTACAGTGCTGTACCAAGCACATACGACCATAGGGTGTGGAAAATAGGGCTTCCCGTCCGCTCAGCCGTACTCAAGCCACACGCCGGTGAGTTAGTAGTTGGGTGGGTGACCACCAGCGAATCCTCACTGTTGTATGTTTTTTGTTTTTATCTATTCAGTATATTATTCAGTATAGATAGCAATAGATGTTCATCTCAGGCCAGGTTGTGGGATTCTGATAATAGCATTCTTGGAAATTAAGCTTATTATGGGTAAGCCTTTGTATTGAAGTAGTATCTGAAAATCATCGAGTCATGTCTGTCTATCACGATCTATAACCAACTCTATAATTGCTTCGCTTCGCTGCACAATGATCAGGCATTTCATATCGCCTGGATGCAAAGACATAAATACAAGTGGGAAAGAAAGGAGTCATATCGTCGTGGTCAAGTCTTCACATCGAGGCCGTACTTCCTTTCAGACCATCGCTGCATATCAATGCCCCATTTCGTGATAGCAAGCACAAGGAACCCACTTATTAGAGCAAAGAATACACCTGGATAGATGGTCAGATATGTCTTGATCGTGACCTCATCTAGAAATCTCACAGATTGTAAATGTCCATCCTACTCCGATAGCACCAATTACCGGCTCAACAGCCGCCGATGCTGCAGCAGCAAAGATATACTGCACCACGTATTTTGAGCTGATCACCTCCGAACGAACATGCGGCATAACCTCTGCAAGGTAGATAGTCAGTTGAGAAGTAGGACAATAGTTCAAACAGATGACACTCACCGGCCGCATAAGTATTCAGTCCATTGAAAGTACCCAGAAGCCCTACGCCCGCAAAGAAAGCGGCGATAATTGGCACAACCATACCACCAACTTCTTCCTGTAAAGTCCAGCCGTAGATTAATGTTGCACCTGGGAGGACCCCGAAAAGGGTGACCAGACCACTGTTCAGTCGATCCTGAGGGAGGCGTTCCCCGTTTCGTTTGAGAATCCATTTCTTCACGGCGTGGTCGGACAACCTGCCGCCAATGACGCTACCGACTAGAAAGCCTATTCCTGGGGAGAGGTAGAATAGGCCGCTGACGAGAGGAGTCGTCAGGTTGAAACGTGGATTGAAAATTGAGCGGGCTGATGTGAGAATTGAGTATTGGAATGTAGAAAGAAGGCCACATGTGAGGCACTATTACTTGTTAGTCAGCCACTGGACAAGATACAATTTCAGTACTTCAACTGGCAGATGATACTTACTGCAAGAAAGACATTGGGGTATATGAATTGACGAAAGATGTGTAGAGGATTGAACATGCTTATAACAGTGCAAAACTTCGGTTTGCTAGAGCTCCGGTTCTTTTCTTGGATACTCGGCACGAAAAGAAGAGACAAGATGAGACCGAGTAAAGTCATTGCGAACTGCAACCAGTAGATAATGCGCCACTGAGCAAATGTGACGATGATACCGCCGATACAGGGTCCTAACAAACAGTTAGCCACCCTCGGATGATAGAGATAATTAATGATAGTACATACCAATTGCAGGCCCACTGACAGACCCAACCATGAAGCAGCCGACAGCCGTTCCACGCACAGTCTAAACTCCCGTCAGTAAGTAGACGACAATCGGGCGGGGGGGGGGGGAAAGGAAAAAAAAAACGTACCGGTTCAAAGATTTGGGAAAGAATAGTGGGGCCGGCACCCATGATGAGGGTACCGGTAAACGCCCCCAAAAGGCGGAT